GGTAATGTCGCAACGGCTTCTTTGCGAAAGGGGGCGAGATGGCTTTGATACGACTCCTACATAACTCTACGATGTATGTATGGATGGATGTACCACGTAATCGCATGATCACGGAGGTGAAGGGGTAGCTAGAGGGGAAGATGTTTAGGAGATCCACTTCGCGACGAGTAATTACCAGAGTATAGTCCAATTCACTGCGGACGAAGGGGCGTGTCAGGCAGAGTGTGAGTGTGCCAGGGCGCCAGGCCCTTCTTCTGCCAATTGTTGAAGCGGGTATGCGAAAATGATTGGTGGAAAACGAGTGATACCAACGATATGATACAGACTTGCCACTTTCTCGCTTCAACAGCTGGTGAATTGCCGCTTGGCAGCGCTCCGCCTGCACGCCCCTTTGTCCACAGGGAACTAGACTGTAGTTCTTGGTTCAACATACCGCAGTACTTCCACGTCAATTGTCTTATTGTTAGTGGCAGTTTCAAGCACATGGCACGATGCATCATGTCGAGTCGACTATCTAGGAAGTAGCCTGTGCGTAGCCGCAACATAGATCTCCTGAGCCACGCCTAAATCTGTAACCATGTACCACGAAAAGTCAAATGAAGGCAGCAGGTGGTCGAGCCAGGGCGCTGTTGCCCGACCAAAGCACCTTATAAAATGGCCTCCGCACTTTCCGAACGTTCGCACTTGCACGTACGAACGCAAACAAACACGTCCTAGCATGTCTGGCACTGATATGTTTTGCATAACTTTACAGTTGCTGGGAGAAATCGATCGGCTAGCCCCAAGTCAATTCGGTAGCTCATTTCTGGCTCAATCGGTAAGTTTTCAATGAACTCTTTGTTTTCTTTCTAGCACATTTTTCTCTCAAGTACCCAAGTCATCTCCCTGTAGAATTAGAAGAGAAGAAGCACATGAGTGGGAAATTACGGTCATTTGCCAGGAGCTACGCCTTTGGTAAATATGGTTACGATATTTTAACAGCTCTCGGTTCTCTTATCCATCTCCAGTACCCGCTCGAGAGATACTGAAGTGTGGGAGGGGGGGGAGTAGTATTAGAGAAATTTGTACCTCTCGTCGTGATCGCACCGTGTATCACACTTATAGAGGAAATCTTGGGCGCTGTGGTAACCCCTACTCTACATTTATTTCCCATTTTTGCCTTTCTATAACATATTGAGCTTTCTCCAAATTCTCTGCGGCGAATTTACCTTCATCCCCATCACTGAAAGGTAAAGATACCCTTCGCAACTTGGGGGTGAGATCGGTGGCGTTGGCCGCCGTGAAGCCACTACCATACATCACTGGCGCAGTGGGTCCAATTTCGCAAGAGACCTAAACTGTACGTTCCAGACCTATCGAGGCCGTTGATTGTGGATACCTGGAAAGCCTGAAAAAGTAACAACACTTGTTCTGCATCCATTGGCTCTCATAACTTATTGTTAGCCCAACTGCGCACTCAAATGGTGCAACGATTCTGCGTGGAACTCGAATGCATGGTGCACCCCATGAAAAAGCTCTTGGGTTCTGGCTTGATCTTAAGGAAGGATATACAGTTTAGACACTCCGATGGCTGGGGACAGAATTGTTAAAAGGTAAAGATGATTGCTTCGGTGACGGGACGCCCTTACATTGGACGGTATTTGCGCGAAGTACTGGTACCTCGGGGTAATGACGGTTGGGCGCAGCAAACAGCTTTGGCAGCGGAATATGAGGCCTGTGCGTAATTATTGACGAAACAAATAAAAAGATAGACATATAAATTGCAAACACACTCCAGAAAATAGCATGGCTCGTCGGTTAGCCCTTCTTCAAGGCGGACCTTTATCGTTGAATCCAGTTCGCCACTTCTAACTCTTCGTTTTTATGTATTTCAGGGCAGCTTGGAAGTTATCCTCCCAAGCTAGCTAAATACGTCCCTTTTTTTGTCATCTTGCTGGTCTATAGATGTCTTCCCCATTACTGCAGTAAGTGAGTATATTTACGATAAATAGGAACAAAGGCTGCGTAACTTAAGAATAGAGAACCCAATCGATATAATTTTTCGCGCGTGTTCTCCGACCCATTGATTCCCCATATGGACAGGTATACTTTCATACTCGTAGAACGCTCGGTTCTCCAGTGCCGCAAGCTAATGCAGCCCAAAGACACCTGCGTCAGAACAAGGCTGGAGAGCTAGGATCTGACCATCCTCCATCTATCGCACTTATCTTTGCTATTACACAGACATCACGAAATAATAATCAAAGTCGCTTAACGATTACCTTTAGTGGGGTTGCGGAGGGCGGTCAAGGGTACGGTGGTCCTGATACGCTATCCTGCCTACTGTAGATGCTATGCAGCCGACCGGTTTTCAGTGAAAGAAGCGGTGCATGCTATGTCTTGTTCCACAACTAACGGATTAGGATGCCTTGATACCAAGCGACAGTGAAGAATTGACGCAACGAAGATTTGACAAACGATTAGATACGTATCGATCTGCTCCCGAAATGCGCCAATTCTGCGATTCTCTAGATCGGTGCGTGTTTAATCATTTCCGTCAGTACTGCGATTCTTCAATTCTTCTCTCTGCTGATCGTATATAGTGCTTTTCGTTAGTTCTTCATTTCGGTATTTTTTCCGTCGCAGAGTATGAACGCAGCTTCACTTCATTTTTAGTACTCTGTAGAATGTCATCGGTTTTAGTTTTTCGCAACAACATCCGTTCTTCCGAGCCTTCCTTTTTGCTTCCTACATCCGTTTTGTGCAACTTGGAAGTTTTGTTGTAGCAGTCATTTTGCTCTTTATCCACTGCAGCACAAGTTTTAACTATCTTTTATGCAAACGCAGAACTAGTGGAAGATGACGGTTTTATTGTGTAGGTAAGACAGCGTCTAATCTTGTGACCTGACGATCAAAGAATCTTTGAAAAGGAAAGTATACGTATCGATTTGGATACTCGAATAACCTGAGCATTGAACATTCCGCGAGAGAGTGCGCAAAAAAAGATCAGATGTGTATCGACTGGAAATCGTTTTCGCGCATTCTCCGATTCTCCGTCTCTCTGATTCACCAGGTCCTCAGTTCTCTCATTCTCCAGATCGACTATTCTTCCCTTTTCGCAGATATTCCGATACTCACAATACTGCGCTTCTCCAGTCAGGGTACAGCACTGTACTGTGATGGGTGAAATGACGGTGTCACTACGACCAAAAGGATCCTGGTACGACCCCTCCCCAAGTCAACTCTGATTGTTTGCTCTGACGAGGAGGATTAGATACGTAACGACTCGCAGGTGCTCGCGCCCGTCTTAAGCATTGTTCACAGTCTGCGGCTCCAGCGTTTCTCTAGAAAGAAACGCTTCAGCGAAAAGCTTTTGATACGTATCGATTGGCGGTTGGGCGAAGAGTCTGGCGGTTGCGCGAAACGGTTTTGATACGTATCGACTGGCGGCTCGGCGAAGCGGTTGGGCGAAAAACGCTAACCCGACCATCCTGGCGTTTTTCTCTAGGCGGAGCCTGCGAAATCGATACGTATCTACTGCTTTTCGCCAACCGCTAAACCGCGGCGGTTCGTCGAACGGGGCAGGCGATCTCCGATCAATGAGTATTTTTTTACTTTTCGCCGAACCCCCGTCTCGTCAGGGTCTAGACTGTGAACAATGGCTTATGATTCCATGGCAAATTAACGGTGGAGCAGACCAGTTAAGCGGGTGGGAATGGCACGGTTTCTTCAGGGGCTGATAGCTGCTTAGGTGTGGGGCTTTTGAGAAACGGAAGGCGGCATCTCGAAGCAATGTCTCTATTGATGAGTTTTCTACCTACTCATAATCTGAACCTGTTCCCGTGCGTGAAATATTTCGGGTGGGTTACGGACGCGTTATTAGTATATCGCGAGCGGGTTTTTATGCTTCAGACGAGAATAACTTCCTTCAAACGCATTTTTTGCAAAACCGAAAGCGCCATTAGTATCCCCAATACTTCCGCTTTCCAAAACTCTCTACAGTTTTCCCGAAGAACCGCTAGTCCAGAAAATATTTGAGATGGGTCACCCTTGGGCAATATTCTGAGCCATTCAGAAGCTCGACTCCTGTGCCATTGTAGGGATACTTATTCGCGAACTTCAATATGCTTTCAAAACGACCATGACCTCGTTGCACAGGGGGAGTCAAAGTCGAATTGTTATATCCCGGTTCCAAGTGATGAGCCTTGCATTAACCCTTTCGATGCACCCTGAGTGAAAGGCGTAATGTCCACGCAAAGCAGATGTTCCGGTTGGAACTGTGATACGCATTGAATTGTTTAAAGATAGTATGGCTAGTACTCCCGAGTCATGCTACTGTTAACATTGTAATCAGTTGTTTAATTTTTGCAGTCTTCCTCTATAACCTTAGGTCTCTGCAGCTTTTTCGTCGATCCAGCTCAACTTAGTGATGAATCTTTGTGCTGTTTAACTCCACCGAACCTGCCGTTTGCGACCCTCCCTGCCGCGATGGTTTCATACGAACGCTGATAACGAAAAACATGCAACCGGCTTAAAACCTAAGGCGTCCATATTGTACGTATGCGCTTCGAGTGAAAATGAAAGTATAGGTGTCGTTCTCACAGCAAACTATATGATGGTCGAGTTCGTAAGAATTAGACTGGTGGGGAGAGGCTGAGTACGGCCCCCTTTTACGATTTGCTGCCATAGACAGTACGCATTTAGAATCTGCCAGAACTTGTATATTTCTCTGCACACGCGCAAATTCGAATACGAGAGCCGCGTTCTTCAGTCGCGTTGGAGCACACTTGTCGATATAATGCTAATCAAGTATTTTTTTAATAGCCAAATTTCTTAACAGTCTAAGAAAAGAATACGGCTTGATGAGTTATCCAAGTGTTCTCGAAAGAGTATGCGAAATGTAAATAAACGTTGTCTGGTTTGTGGGGATTTCATAATAATGATGAGCGGGTTTCTCACTGGTTGAACGACGGTATTCATGGTCACAGGCGTTTGAATGAAAGAGCAGTTCGGAGTTTTTTTCTGCCCCGAACTACCTAAGTTTTTTCTCCCGGGAACTACCCGGGTGGATGAAATAGATGCGTTGGGTACTTTCTGGTAATTTGCCTTCTACAGTTGGTTGCGGTCTTGTTTATCTAGGGACGCTTTAGAGCATGAAAAAACGTGCAACAAGTTTTCCGATTTTCGTAGAAAAATAATATCAGTTTCCCGCTTCTTCTGCTACAGCATGCTTTTCTATTAATCTTTTAGTAGCTACACGTCTCACCTTCCACGAACAAATGTCATGCTAAATGTGCAAATCCAGGAACGATGGATGGAGTTATCTGTTTTGTCAGGAAAAATCGCAAAGGGATGTCACGACATGGCAATCTATTCCGACCTCTCCCAGCTGTAGGTCTCTCTCCCCGTGGTGTTGATGAGCTGTCATTTCCTCAGGCCCACATCACATAAGAATCAATCAGCCTTCCGATCAATGTCCCGCTCGCCTGCGGATACCTCATTAACGCAGCGGGATAAGTTGGATACTGACGAGTTAATTGCTCTCCATCATGTTAGATATGGGAACTATATTGAAGGGTCAATATAATTACTTGACAACACCGTGAGCATATGCAGAGGGTCCCTCTGGCAAATCCAGATCATTTGAGAGGTCCGTGAGTGTGGGCTTGCTTTATCACGTTTTTCACTTCTCTGTAGTCGATCGCTTCGATTAGCAAAACTTTTCCCCGGCTCGTACGCACTCAAACAAATAGAAAATCTCTCTAACTCGCTGCGCTTTGACAGTGCTCGCACTGCCGTTCTACTCAGTTGTGCCGAGTTCCAGTAGATCTGTAGGTCGCACGTTAGACGAGAATTTCGAAGCCACTCAAAGGCAACAGAACTTATGCATACAGACTACATCGCTTTGTCTTGCATTAGCACTGCCAATAGGTGCTACTTCATAATACTATGAAGTAGCACCTATTGGCAGTGCTATATATACTGGGACATTTTGGTGCACTGCTTCCAATGAGAAAACGAAATAAAAACGGGTAGAAAAACATATTACGACCCTTCCAAAAAATTGTTGAAACTGAAAATTAGTTAACTATCTTGCTTGCAAAATCTTGAATGAGAGATGAATTTCGAAACATTCCTGCCGCAAGACATTCGAAACCGTGACGCGACTTCCTCCTTCATGGAGGCCCAGAACAACACCCACCTAGTTTCGAGCAGAAAAATGTTTCTGCACTAGTAATTGCTTCAATCGCACTAGAACTTCTCTTTCCTATGTTCGACGACGCCGCTCCCAATGCTCTCTAAGCACCCTTCCACGCCGTCGTCCGTGGTAAAAGTAGAAGAACGACAAAAAAAAGAGCCCAGAGATGTTTAGTAGCCTCCCAGAAACTGCATAATTGGGACTATCATATTCTGACGAATTAATACACTAAAAAGTCCCACTAGTTGCAAGTGTGAGCCTACCCACTTAGAGACTCTCATATGGGATGCTTTTGATAATAACCTCGGGGGGGGGGGATGGGGGGAGGGGGTGGAGGGGTCGTTTGAAGCACTTCTTGCGCAGAAGTGGAATAACCGCAATGGCTGTGGGAACTTGCTTAGAACTAAAAAGAGGAAGAGCTTTGTCTAGGGAAATACATCGTGGTCATTACACCAGGATGACGTTGCACAAGTTTTGCACAAGGAAGCCTTCAAACTCCCCTTCCCTCCCAGCACCGAACTTATGGTGTTTGCAAATAAGTGTAAACAATAGTAGGCAACACTGAATTCCACAGCATTCATTTAATTTACAGCTACACGAAATATCCAAAAATACTGGCTCATAACTCGGTTGGGAACAGTGTTAGCAAATGGTGTTGTACATGCTCGAACAATTCTAGGAATGGCCCAATGATTTCTAGTTGAGTGTTATGTGGTGTCACCTAGCCGAGGCACGACTTCTTACGAATCGTTTATTACTGGCACAAGAATCGTCAATCAGATCACAGAGCTGGTTGAAAAAGCAACCATAAAAAGCTGTGCCTAGGGACTGAAACACCACAAATGCCCTTGCATTTGGAAATAACCTATTCCTTCTTGGAACCGACAATATACGAAATAAACTAACACTTTTATAGTTGTCTCAGTGCAACAACACCTCGCTCTTCTCTACCCTACCCATTACGCTATACAACCAGTAAGAACACCTAGTAATAGCGAGGGGGGCAAACTGACAATATAACAACGTGAGATTAGGACCTGACGAATGAGGTAGATTACGTATATTACAGAATTAAATGAATTTTTGAATCTCGTCGTAAATGGCGAGAACCAAGGCTCCTCCTGTTCCACGGAAAACATTGGACAATGCTCCCTTGAACATAGCTGACATTCCCTCGTTCGCAATGATCTTCTTGGCACAGTCAAGGGTGTTCTTGTAAAGGATATCTTTTCTTCCAGACTGCATCATCATACGACGACGAACAGTATCCCAAGGATAAGACAAGATTCCAGATCCGACTGTGACAACCTGAAAAAGCAGTGAGTAATTCAAACTACGAGGTTATAACTACAAACATCTATTACCTGAGCGATAGCCCATGCGATGAAGAAGTTGAGTTTGCCCTCGGAAGCCAGCACCATCTTGGCAGTGTCGAACAGACCGAAGTAGGCGGCACGGTAGATGATGATACCTTGTACGGAGACGAAGAAGCCACGGTACAATCCAATAGGTCCGTCAGACTTTACTACTTTGATTAAGCAGTCAGCCAACCCCTTGAATTCACGGCCCGCTCCCTTGCCAACATCGGCTGCGAGACGGGTTCTAGCAAAATCTAGCGGATACACGAAACACAATGAGGTAGCTCCAGCAGCACCACCGGATGCCAAGTTTCCAGCGAAGTACTTCCAGAAGTCCTTCTTCTTGTCAAGGCCCTCCAGGAAGACCTTCTTGTAGGAGTCCTTGAAGGCGAAGTTCAAAGCCTGTGTGGGGAAGTACCGGATGACGTTGGCTAGATTTCCTCTCCACAGAGCAGCGAACCCTTGCTCCTTGGGAACGCGGACCAATATATCGATGATTCCCTTGTACCGCTTGTCGACGGCAATGGTGCTCGATGCATCTTGGACCTACAATTATCAAAAAATTATAGACGCAATGTCATAGAACGAAGAATCTGTGCGAAAACGCTTCACCTGAAGAAGGAGCTTCACGCGCTCAATAGGAGCAACTGCGGTCTTCGAGATGGCAGCAGCGGTACCTTAAAAAAAGCATGAGTGCAATATAAAAAATGCTATAAAAACAGCGAGTGAGGAAAAAAAACGAGGTGCCTGGAAGACAGGAGGTGTAGCAGACACTTTTTTACCTCCTGAGGCCAAGTCGATAAAGAACTTCTTCGCATCAAACTTCTCTGGCATGGTGAGAGTAGGGACCTCGGTGGTCGGTGCTTGCCTGGCAGTAGCAAAGAAATGCTCTGGATGGACCCAAGTCTCCACCCCTTCGAGGTCATTCCAATTTTCGTGCGTGTGCTGGCCTCGCAACGACTATTACCGTAAATTATGCGCTCGTTCAAAACTTGGCCGTGTTCCAGCCTTACTGGTGCTCCCAAATTTTTTGCAGAGAGAGCTAAAACGTTTTGACCGACATAGAAATTTTCTTATTATTCCACGTCAGTACCATCGCTATGCCATCACTTCGTCGACCCTAGCCGATTAGTGAGCCCCAGGGAAGATGGAATTACCGTGGTTCGAATGAGGTCAGGGACGGAACGAACCATCTGTATTCCATTGTAATTTTTCGACTTAGACGTTTCCTTCTTTTCTGTTTGTCGGTGATCATTCAGTTGTGATCATACTCGGTTTTTTCTTGCATTTTTAACAGCGCAACGTGTGATATAGATCTTCTCCTCTGGCTGACTTATTTCACCGTTTCAGATTTTGGGATGCCTTCGGATGCAAAAAAGGCAAGGGATGCTGCGAAGAAAGCAGCAGCAAAACAACAGAAGGCGAACCGGGGGAAGAAGGTCGAAGCAAAAGAAGAAGCTACTACAGAAGATTTACAAGTAAATGGAGACATTCAGCGGAAGCCTTCAGACTCGCAGATTTTTACTGAAGACAACATCGATGGTACGTCTGGCTGTTTTCGTTGTTTGAAGTTTATTCCTCATTAGGAAAAGACATGAGAAGAAGGTGAAAAGGAACCCAGGGCAGCAAGAAAATGGGAATTTATGAACGTAATTCTCGGTCCAGAATTAATATTTTCTTTGTGAGATTGAGTTCCTTGAAGTGAGGTCTCCCGATCGAAATATTCGAGCTTCAGACTTCTAATGTGATATTTTCGCATGAAATCGGGAAGTCCTGAATGTAACTATTGGTCCAGATTTAGATATGGATGCCATGGTTGTCTAGATTTGTCTAAGGGCACGTGCGAAACGTGAACTAGGCGCTTACTTGAAATCAACAAGCCCAAAAAATTCAACATATGAAAATTATAGCACAGTTTACGGATCGATATTGTAATCATGATTACAAGTATAAACTGATTATATCACAATTCAGTCACATTAATTTTTTTTTCGTGAGATTAGTTTTCTTGAAGTGAGGTACCCGAATCAAAATTTCCGACTTTCAGTCTACTGAAATGAGATTTTCGCTATCCGCGCCATTTGAAACGTCAGTCATTCGTTTATTTTTAGGTGCAATAGATGCTGCTGCCGAAACTCTTCAAAAAATCGAACTCGAGAATGCACAAGCGCGATCCGTTGCTGGGGCATTGACTTCCAATCCTAAAGGTCTAGATCACAAGGTGGAAAGCTTAACGGTGAGCTTTCCTTCAGATTTGTTGGGCTGTCTCCTTGAAATTTTTATGTATGATCTCCTTTCCATTGATAGGGATGTGATAAAATTGGGCTCTTTGTGTTGAGTTTGAAGCAGTGAGTGGGTGGGCATGGCAGAAATATCTAATGAACAATGGAACATGGAGAAAGATTTTCATCTGCACTCTTCGCTTGATTTTTTAGATCACTTTCCATGGTAGAGAGATCGTAGTCGACACCAAACTAGAACTTAATAGAGGGAAGGCGGTATGGCCTTATTGGCCTAAATGGGAGCGGTGAGTTTTTTCTTTTGGAAAAACCGAGATCTTGTTATTGCAGAGCTTTCAGGTAAATCAATATCATGCACGCCATTGTCAACAAGGAGCTTCCTATTCCTGAAACCGTTGATATGTACCTGGTTAGTTCAACGTTTGAAAATATCAGTTCATTTAAGCTATGTTCTTCCTGATTAACCCTCATAAACGCTTCGCTTATTCAATGGCTTAGGCCGTACGGAAGGGCATACGCCTTGCTGAGGTGCATTAATTGCTCTAGGAATGCTCAGAGTGTTTCATACTTCCGGCGTTTTGAATGACTAGGACGGTATAGGTACTGATCTAGCGTAAGCCAGCGCACGGCAGCGTTTTGAGCGTACTTCGCTTATACCAGACCAAGGCACTTTTTGAGCGACTAGAAAAGTATGGATATACCAGTCGGATCGCCCAGCTGTCGCCGGGCGCTCCTCCTTCTGTGACATGGCCCGGCTTCGCCGGGTGGGCGCGGATTTGCTGCGTGCTAAGTTACGGATCGTTGACCAACCACACTGTTCAAAGGAATGTTCTGCATCAGCCAAGAACTGAAAAGCAGCGCCCGTTTTGTCAAGACGCAGAAGCAGCAGCAGCGCCCGCCGCATAAGGAGGAGCGCCGGCGTTAGCGAGCGATCCGACTGGTACGTTCATAACCTACATGGGAGACTGCTGCCTGTTAGGTTACCCACTGAAGCAGCCTATGACTCATCATTCCTCTTGAAGCGTCTTGCTTCGCAATGCACTCCCGCATTCAGCAGTGGAACGCTTTGAATGGCCCTCACTAAGGTTGTTGATGGAAGATAATTGTGGTAAGAGTGATTAAGTCAATTGCTGCTGTTCATAACATCTCTGTAAACAAACCCCATGCATTTGGAATAGAGCTAGCTTAGCGGTCGTACATGATGTCGTTACTAATAAGCAGTGAGGAATGAGTTCTGTTGGAATCATTGAGATCGTTATACTTGAGTCATATCGATCGCATTGTTGTTGTGAGCGGTGAAGCGGATTTTCCCATGTTACCTTGTCACTTTCAGCTCCTATCACTTCCGTCACCCGCCAATAATATTCCCGTCCCATATCACTATCATATCATCCTAAATCACATCACGCACGCTCCCACCGTTGCCGTAACCTGCGTTACGAATTTGGTGATCATCCTCTTCCGAGACCCCTTATCGGATCTTATCAACTGTTATCACGTCACCCGCCAATAATGTTCCCGTCCCACACCCTATATCACCTCTCGGATCCAAGGTCCCACTGTTGCCGTAACCTGCGTTACGAATTTGGTGATCCTCCCCTTCCGAGACCCCTTATCGGATCTTATCAACTGTATCACTTTCTGTCACCCGCCAATAGTGTTCCCGTCACACCCCCTACATTATATCTTGGAACCAAAATCTCACTGTTACTGGGAAAGGCGCTATGAATTTCGTGACACACAGACGCACGGACACACACACGCAGACATACTTAGCGGATTATATGTAGTAGGATCATTTTGAGCGTTCGTCAGGGTTTTGAGCGTACGCTGGCGTTCTGAGCGCCTTCGCTGGTAGTCGCTGAAAACGCTAACGTACGCTCAAAACGCTCAATTCTTGTATTTTTTCTGACGCTCCAAACGCTGACGCAAAACGTGAAACATGTGGACGTGAAACGTCACGTCTCTTGAACTGAGTAATGCGCTTGCTTACGCAGTGGCGTTTTGAATTGTTGCAAAGAGGATGTCGGAATCATAATGTTGAGTACATAGTTTCAAATGAGCGATGCCATTGATAAGCTGCCTTCTGGGAATGTGGGGTGAAGAATCTCGTTAGTTTAAGTAGCAGTCAAAAAGGTGATGTTTAAATATTGCTCAGGTATCCCGTGAGATGCCTGCTTCTAACACAACTGCTTTGCAAGCAGTGGTCGATGTCGATACCGAGCGAAAGGAACTTGAGCACCTTGCCGAGGAACTTGCTGGGAATGATGATGACGGTGCGTATTTGCTTTCTTTATTGCAGATGAAGCAAGTAGTAATTTTTTTTCTCTTTTTTAGAGAGTCAAGAAAGGCTCATGGATATTTATGACCGACTTGATGAAATGGATGCAGCTCTGGCTGAGAAGAGGGCTGCTGAAATTCTTCACGGTCTTGGCTTCACTAAAACGATGCAAATGAAGAAATGCAAAGATTTCTCAGGTTTGCTTTCCACTATTTTGATTCCTCATACTTTTTTCAGTTTCTAAATACCGTCTTAGCCTCTATACCTTTTTAGTTGAAAACGTCTAATTCAGGAGGATGGCGGATGCGGATAGCTTTAGCCCGGGCGCTCTACTTGAGACCATCGTTATTACTTCTCGACGAGCCTACAAACCATCTTGATCTCGAAGCGTGCGTATGGCTTGAAGGGGAGCTGAGTCGATATAAAAGGACTCTGCTTATTGTTTCTCATTCACAAGATTTCATGAATGGTGTTTGTACAAATATTATTCACCTTTTCCAGAAGAAACTAGTCTATTACACGGTAAGCTCTTCAACTGCTCCTTTCGCCTTAATCTCTAGTGTAGAAATTTTCAGGGTAATTATGACCAGTTTGTTAAAACTCGCCTTGAACTCTTGGAGAACCAAATGAAGCGATATAATTGGGAACAGTCGCAGCTGCAACATATGAAGGCGTGTCAATTACCGACATCTCGCAATGAATTTTCATTGTTAACGCTTATTTGAAGTACTGGTTTTCAGGACTACGTTGCCCGTTTCGGTCACGGTTCTGCCAAACTTGCTCGCCAAGCCCAGTCTAAAGAAAAAACGATGGCAAAAATGGTTGCCGGCGGCCTCACAGAAAAAGCCGTTACAGAAACGGTTGGTAATGCACTACTTCCTTGTAGATTTTGTAATGTAATTTTACTGTTTATTGACTTCTTCGCACCGAGTGTGGTGGTAAGCCTGCGTTCATACTTTGCGTCAGCCTATGGCTGCGTTTTGAGCGTTTCGACTGCATGCCAGCGTCAGTGATTAGAAAAGTATGAATATCTGTCTACCGTACGCCAGCGTCCACCAGGAAAGGAGATTATGGAAAGTTGAAGGGTAGCAAACTGCTAGCTCATTCGTCATGAAATTGGGGTGTGCAACC